CCCCAAAACCCCAAAACCCCAAAACCCCAAAACCCCGAAGGAAGGAGAGCAAGTAGACATCATTAGTTATAATTTAAAAATATCAAAATGGCTTCCAAAGATTTGAAGATGATGTTTGGTATAGTGTTTCTCCTTCTCATTGCACTTAATGCTAATGCAATTAAGAACACTAAAGTAACTAGAAACGTTCAACTTGGATATCCCTATTATCTTCAAGAGACGGTTATTGAATTCACTAATAACGAGAAAGAAAATATCCATGAATATATCTTGCTCATTGACAAAGACCAGGTTGATGACTTAGTCTATATTGAAGTAGAGCTTAACAAAAAAGTAGCTAATACTACCAGAGATGACTCCATTACAATTCCTACTGAAGATTTCGTACCATTCAAAGTTGATATCGGAACTCTATCTTCTGGAAGTAAAGCTAGATTTATAGTTAAGGAAATTTATACCAATAAGAAAGCTCCTTACTCAACAACTATGAAGATGCACGAGACCCCCAAGCTCAGAATTATTGATGATGCTTATTACATATCTCTTTATGAAACAGAGAAGATGAAATCTACTTTTGAGTGTAGCGAATGTGGATCTTTAAAAGCTACAGAGATTGAAGGTGCAGAAGCCAGAACCAAAAATGTGAGATATGGAACCTTCAAGAACGTGCAGCCTCTTACTTCAGAAGCAATATATATTTTGATCAATATTGATGCTCCTCAGCCTCTCTTTTCTAGCGTCAAAAGAGCCATTACAATCTCTCATTGGTCTTCAATTGATGTAGAAGAAGAGTATAGGTTAAAGAACAATATCCCGGCATTGGCAGGAGGGTTTAGCCGTGTTGCTTACAACCCACATACTATTAAATATGCTGTCACAGAACTTGACTGTGAGCTCCCTGTAGACATTACTGAGCTTTATTACACAGATGAGATTGGCAACATCACTACCTCTAATGCTTACAGAGGTTCAGAGAATGTCGAATTCACTATCCAGCCAAGATTCCCAGTTATGGGTGGATGGAAGACCTACTGGCAGCAAGGATATAAGCTTCCTAAAGACTCTTACATTAAGGAAACTGGCAATCCAGAGGAATATGAGGTTAGTTTAAGCTTCTCTCACCCTTATGATGACATTATTGCGCAAGACTTCGAGTTTAGCATTACACTTCCGGAAGGAGCAACTGACACAAAGATTGATATCCCATTTGAGATGCAAAGTATCGAGAATGAGACTGTCTTCAGATACCTTGATCTCTTTGGAAGACAGAAAATAGTTATGAAAAGAAGAAATATCTTAGAAAGAGTTCATGACAAGAGTGTTAAAGTGACTTACAGACTTCCTCAATCTAGCCATCTCATAAAGCCAGTGATAGTTGTAGTCTACATGTTCATTCTGTTGTTCTTCCTGCAGCAAATCTGGAGATGTGCATCCGATTCTGGATCTAAGCCAAAGAGAGAATAATTACATTCCAATATTCAAATCAACTGTGGGGTTTTGGGGTTTTGGGGTTTTGGGGTTTTGGGG